TAGGTTTATGCTAACACACTCCGTAACTATTGTGATCATTAGATTATTCACATATTTATTTATTTATTTATTTATTTATTTATCGCCTTTCTGTCAACTTCCGATGTCAATTAAAACAAAAAAAAGAGTATATATATAAATAACAAAAGGTTGAACAACAGAAAAAATGAGATGAGATAAACTGTTTCAAAATTTCTGTTTTTCAAAGGTCATATACTTTGAAATAAATAATAAATATTATCTACTCTATAAGAGGAGTGAATGAAAATAGAAATGCTGATGCTGCTGCCGCTAATGATGATAAAAGTGTTTGTAGGGTGAATTATTTCAGGAAATAAGGGGTGTCGAATAACAAACAGTAGTGTGGTGGTGTGATACAGACAATGTGTTTTTGAATCGTTGGGTGTACTGCTAGACAGCTGTTTCGGCAGCCTAGTTTGTGACTCTTCAGCAGTATGCATCCACCGCCCGGGGGTCGAACCTAGGACATTCTGGTTACAAGGCTAGCGAGCTCGTAGACCATTAGGCAGTCACTGGGACCTGATGCAATGGCCAGCCAGTCCCAAACTAGGCTGACGAAACAGCTGTCTGGCAGTAGTGCCTGCCTAGTGATTTTCCAGTTATTCTCTTAGTGATGTTGGCTCATGATGAAATCGTCCAACCAATCGATCAAACTGAATCCCTACAAAAACTAATACTTGAATATTATTTTCACATAAACTCTGATCTACAAGTGAGACTGCTGCCCCGTGTGTCAGTTAAACACACCAACTCGTGCTCGTTTACGCACAACTTCGAATACATCAACCCCTTCTCAATCGCCCTCATTAACTCTAGTCTAGGAGAACAGAAAGAAGATACAGTAGACCTTTCAAAAAGTTTCTTCTGTCGTCTCTTCAGTCAATGGTTTTTCCAGTGGCTCAGTTTGCCGCATGCAAAACACCGGTCCCTTCTCACCCTCATTCTCAGCACGGCTAATTCACGCTGCAACTCTTCAATTTGTTGCTCAGATTGCTTGACTTTTGGTGGATCTTTCCTGACAGCTGTCTTGCTTAATGGTTGCTTGGTCACTTTTGCGAGCTCCTCAATGTCATGTGGCTGTACGGTGTGAATCAGATGTACCTGTTGAGATATGTGTTCTGGAACACTCTCGATAAACTGAGACGCCAACATTTGTACCTAAAAATCTTCGTCCAGTGTTGGTAACGCAAGACGCAGTAGGTTTGTCAGGATCAGCACCAATACAAGAAGGTCACCGTTAACTCCTAGGTTTATGGTGCGAAAGTGCGCATCTCCCGCTGTCTATCCATCGGGCTGTCAAACGCCTCCTTGTGATGTTACACTACTGACTTTTAAGTTGCTTGCCCTTCTGTTCGCTTCACTGTCAATTTGTTATACAACTCTACAGACAATCACAATGTCATCATACATTTAAATTTTAAATTTTTGATATAACATTTTTGATTATAGCTTGATTCCACACAGTATTTTGGTACAAGTACGGAATTTTCAGTATGTGATATCGGTAGCCCAAATTTAGCAGGCCGACCATTGTTAGTAGGTGTGCGTCGATGGCCGGGGATCGAACTCCGGACCATGTGTATGGTTGATAAGCGTCCTAACCGGTGTAAATATCCACTTCACATAGGATATGGTTGACTCTACTGGTTACAAATTCTCATCAGAACTTGAAGATGTTGACCAACGATATAGTCTGATAACCAGGTTCAGTTCCTAGAAGTGGCGGAGGTACTCATGAAGAGTTCCAGACGTGTGAACGAAGCAGCTATTCAATGTTGTTTTGATTTCCCATGATTTTCTAACTGACTGATGTTGCCTCTTGACCAAATTTATATTGAATTTAGTGCAAATCTGTAGAAAACTCATAATGCACTATGCTTTTATTTTATTCTCGAGTTCTTAGTGGAACATTTAGGGGGCTTCAAGCCTCTTGAACTTTAAAGTTTCAGTAGCAATGGTGTTTTTTTCTCGGGATAGGGTTCCGAGCTTACCATCGAACCTCCCGTCTTTACTGGGCTTACTACTGGCTCAAAGAGAGAGAGGTTAAGGAGTGAGTCGGACGGGGCTCGAACCCCAAACTACTTGCTTGGTTGGCCAGTGTGTCCTATCAAACTCATAATGTAAATAGTCATTTTTGTTTTTATTTCAAATCGAAGGGAAATAGCTGAACACTTTTTCTTTCATATTGTTTATTGATCATCATCTTTTTTTCTGAAATATGTTCAGGTGGAATACTACAGCAGAATTTCAAACATCACAACCACTTCCAGTAGTCAAGGTGAAAGTTTTCAAAGAATGCTCAGGACCGCTGACACTTGATGATAAAGAACTAGGAAGAGTAAGTCAGATATTATTAATAAGGATTTGGTGTATATTTTATGGCATTCCTACTACTACTAATACTACTACTGTAACAACAGAAGACAAGGGCCAGGCATCAGATCGTTTATTAAGGAAAATCAACACATATTTATAGATTTTAATGTACATTATTATAGATTATTGTTAGTAGAAAATGCAGTGTTTTGATTGGTTGTTTCTCACAGAAAGTTAACCTTGCATCTCTTTGTGGCTCTGTCAGATCATCCATATGCTAACTGTATCGGCCTACGCAAAGCCTTTGTTCTCATTTTCGCACCATCAATATTGGGGACATAAACATTGACGTCAATTACTGTCTACCAACTTTGGCTAGCAGCCAGGTCTCACTACAATTCTATTACTTGTCCTGTGTGTTTATCAATGTTTTATGTTGATACAAGGTTGAAATGAAATTTGAAGTCCTTGATTTCATGGCTCCTCTTAGCAAACAGACTTTGATAGTGTCCTTTCACACAAGGTAGAAGTCGACTCGTCTGTAATTCACATTAATACATTTAGCTATAATGTTAAAGGTTAAAGTTAAAGAGTAGGTTTATTGAATGGGAAAAAAAACTTCCCTAACATTCTATGTAGCTTAATTTCAAATCCTATCAATTCATTTGACAGGTAAATATGAAGAAAATAAGATACATAGCACACAGGATTTCATCATGACTTGACATTGGTTAGAAAATTATTGGAAAACCTGCAGGGAGTACTGGCAGACTGCTGTTTCGTCAGCCTAGTTTGAAGCTCTTCAGCAGTACGCACTCGCCGGGTCGTGAATTGGTAGACGTCAGAGTTCATGAGTTGGTCATTACATCGAGTTCCATTGACCTAATGGTCTACGACCTCACTAGCCTTGTAACCAGAAGGTCATGGGTTCGAACCGTAGCTGTGTGTGCGCACTGCTGAAGAATTCCAAACTAGGCTGACGAAACAGCTGTCTGGCAGTACTCCCTGCCTGATGGTTTTCCAATGGTTCTCTAACTGATATCAGCTCATGATGAACTCCTCTTTCTAAATTTTTATGTTGCAGTAATCTAGTTGACGCCGATCTACTAGTTTGATCTAATTCACTGATCTCTCGAACAGTCATTACATGGTATTGGGTTAATTTATATTATTTTGCTTAATTGGATCTTTTGTCTCCTTAAACCGACAAGGTTTATCTCTGAAAGAGTCGCCAAATTCGATTTAACCTATCATACGACCAAGTAAACTGTGAGTACGCATGTGGTCCGGGTTTCAAATGCCGGCCAGTCAGGCGCTTCGAAACCTCACTTTTCCGGTAGTTAACTCAGTAAGAAGGGAAGGTGGTTAAACGTGAGGCTAACAAACCCATTTCATAAAAAGGAAAAAGGCTACTGCTGCAGAAACGTCATAGCTGAAAGCCTACTCGGAGCAGAAAGAAATAAAATAAAATAATTAAAACAATTAATTGTGAGCTAATGTGAACCTAATGCGCTCACAAAAACTGTGCTATCTATTAATCGCACAGTCAACTATTACTATAGCAATAATTATTTTATTATTATTCCTTTGGGTACCAAGTGGAACACAGGGCTTCAACAACACAACTCCACTTTGTTCTGTTTTCTGCTGTCCCCTTCAGCTTGGTCCACGACTGACTAAACTCTCTCATCTCAGCCACACGACCTCCTTCATGTCACCCTCGCACTGACGACCCACTCTTCGCATCCCATTTGGATTCCACTCGAGCGATGTCATTCGGTGGCCTCCTTAATGTATGCCCGATCCATCTCCATTTTCTCCTACATATTTGTTGAGCGATCGGCTCACGCCTGTTGGTTTGTTCCCAGCCATAGTTTCTTGTTGCTAATTCTTTCTTGCCGGCTATTTGATCTTCATTATTTAGCCAGGCAGCTAGGTGGGCAGCTGTTGATTAAAGTCTGTAGTGGCCTGCTGGAAATCCTTTTTGTGAGACGCATTGGAAGTTTCTGACCCGTAGGGAAGGACAGATTTGACAGTGGTGTTGAAAATTTCCAAACCGGTTTCAGCTTGATGAAGGCTCACCTTGCCTTTCCACTTCCGACTTTGACATCTTCGTCCGTTCCGTGTGCCTGTAGTTGAAACGATGCCGGCTGCCTAGATAAGTGAAGGTGGTAACTGCTGTTAAACCTCTCCCGTTGATGATGATTGGTGCTGGTTGTTGCGGTTGCTGTTGGTGGTTGGTTGGTTGGTTGGTTATCTTCATCAACTCCGTCTTCTCTGTGTTCACTTGACGTCCTGTTTTCTCTGGCTGCCTCTTCAACCAGTTTGTTGGTTTTCGCTTGCAAAAACCTCGCCTAGTTAACTAGCCGGTGCCAAGCCCCGGTAAAAAGGGAGGGTTGGGCGTGGGGCTAACAAACCCACATCACAAAATCTTTCAAACCGCTAGAGAAACATCAACACACAGGAAATATATTAAAAATGCAAAAATTTCAAATATCAATAATACCACCACAGGCAAGTAGATACAAGAGAGAAGGATAAGAACCTTTATTAAATAGAAGTACTTTCATCGCCTCTAATCAACAATACATCTTTCCTCTTCCATATTAGTTTGTTTATTAGATATATCACACAGTCAGTAAAACAGTATTACTTACTGGATGACACAGTTTCGAACAAAATTTATTGTTAATAATCATTTCATCAATTATAATCACACGACTGTGAAACTTGAGTTTTATAGTTTTCTTTGTTTTCTCCTATTTGTCGTCCTTGGGGTAGTAGAATTTTCCAGATATCTGGGACAGGTGATGAATCATTCCTATTACATGTATTTGCAGTTGATTCGATAAACAAAGCTTTTGTTATCAATCTCTCCCTATACCCTGTGACATTAGATTTTAAAACTGTTATCCTATCCCATCCTATCGTATGGTTGTGTGTAACTACATGTAGTGAGTGCTATAGCTGAACTATTCTCTAGACTGCTTATCTTACTTGGATCAACCAATCTAGATTTTGCTAATTTTTTATGTTCAGCTAGTCTGACTGCCCCTGTTCTACTAGTTTGACCTAGATATTTGACCTGACAATCAACACAGGCAGGGTATTAGATAAACTAAATTGTTTTGTTTTAAAGGCTCCACAGGATCCACCATTTAACTGACAAAGCTTGTTTCTAATTGAGTTTGTGGTAGGTCTGAATGCCAGTCACTTTTATTCCTGCCTGCCTTGTTAAGAATTCTGCGTAAGGTTTCTGAGGTCCCTTCGTTGTTTGGAATTACTACTGGTGATTTAGATTCCTTATTGTTGGTGTCATCATTAATATTATTATTATTATCATTATTATTGTTATTATCACTATCGCTACTATCATTATTTATTTTATTTTTACATTTCCTTACATATTTCCTGACTAATTTAAAACAAAGAAAACTCTAAAACTCAAGTTTCAAAGTCGTGTGATTACAATTGATATGATTATGAACAATAATGAATTGTGTTCGAGACGTCATCCAGTATAAAATACTGTTTCACTGACTGTGTGATATATCTAATAAACAAACTAATTTGGAATTACTTACCACCACAGTGACCAAGTTTTACACATATATATTAACATCTTTCCTCTTACTTGTCTTCACGTACTTGCAGTATTCTTATTGTTGTGGTAGTTCTGGTTGACCTGGCCAGTGAACGATTTGCGTAGTTATCTTGTTAATACACACACATTCAGTTCACATATATCTCTCGCAGTCTTTCATTCATATAATGTTTAATTATAATTTTAATTATATTTGTAAAGTCTCAGCGAGATTGAAATGAGTAATTCCAACGTTTCGTTCGGCAATCTGGTCCGAACTTCTTCAGGGAAATTAATCGAAATTAACATAACATAGGTTTATATATAAAAAGGAACATCACTTGTTTTTGAAAATTTGTCCAATCATGAGTCATTCAACGAGTATCAACAAGTATAATAAACAAAATTTTATGAGCTGTGATCAAAATTTGACTTCGGACTTACAAATATTTGGTCTACCTTTGTTAAACACTTTATACAGAGTGTGTATGTGTGTGTGGGTAAACAGTTGTAAAATATTTCTTAACGTTTCCATAAGAAGATATGGACAGTCGAGAATTTTGACCAAGTATTAATAATTGGTGATACATATCCATTTTTATTTATTAATCAGGATTTCCTATGCATCAGCTAACATCACGCCTTCATGTCCGTTCAAACTGTTAGTATCTAGAATTTTTATGATTAGACTTATTTTCAAAATTATGGTGTTTAGGATTAGCGTTTAGTAGAAGCACCCTGTCGGACCAGATTGCCGAACGAAACGTTGGAATTACTCATTTCAATCTCGCTGAGACTTTACAAATATAGTTTTTTACAAATGTCTACTTCTCACTCGGCGCCCAAATATTTTAGAACTATTCTGTCAAATCTTGACGACAGTTCATTTGAATATAGTTTTAATATGTATAAATTTCCTTTTTTCCTTTGTTTTCTCTGTCGATAAAATCGCAACAAAAATAGGTAACTATCAATATAACTTGGTCAAGCCCACGAAATCCCCTCTGGTATAAACTACAGACAACAAAACACTGTCATGATCCATTGGAATTACAAATTTCCTTGTCTATGCAACGTCCAACTAATTGTAAATATGGTAATTATTGTTGGATACAAGGGAGAACAACATTTAAAAAATGGAAACGACGTTATATATGTATTATACAAGTAAGTTGTGCAGAGAATGTATTAATTGTCTTACCGATTGATTTTAATAATACAAATATTCCACACAATTGCAATACTCCATGTGTGTACACTAAGGAAAACAAAAGAGAGGAAGAAATGAGACTCTAAATTACAATAGTAATAAGTAGAGGGCTTCAGCCGTGCACGTCTCCATTGCGTTCGGTTCTCTGCCAACGTTTCCACCTAGCTCTATGTCTGTTCACAAGCTTTCATCTCTTCACATGACCTCTTCCGTGTCACCCTCGCACTGACGACCGATTCACCGCCTCCCATCTGGGTTCCTCTGAAGAGAGAACCTGGCGTGTGATGTCACTTGATGGTTTGTTTTCTCAGAGTATGGCCACCAATCCACCTACCTCCATTTATTCCTGCAGATTTGTTGCACATTTGGTTCTTGAGGGTTGGTTCCTTGATTGCCAGAGATCCCTCACTATTGCTGATCTTCTCTGACCGGCCATCTGATCTTGGGTATTGAGGGAAGACATCTGTTTAGATGAAGGTCTGTAGTTTGTTCGAAGTGCCCATCGTGACGCGCCAAATCTCTAATCTGTATAGTAAATAGCACTAACTTCACATTGGAGTTGAAAATCCGGATCTTGTTTTTGATGCTGAGTGCTGAGTGTTGACCTCCACACAGAATTGAGAGAAATGAGAGCTTGTCTTGCTTTCCCGATTCTTGCTTTGATATCCTCGTCAGTTCCGTTGGCCTGTAGTTGAAACGATGCTTCCCAAGTAGGTAGGTATTCAAAGGAGGTTACTTCTTTCAGATTTCTCCCATTTATGCTGATTGTTGTCTGTTGTTGTTGCTACTGATGTTGGCCAGGAATCTTCATCACCTCAGTCTCCACCTTCTCTATGTTCACCTGAAGTGAAGTCCTATCTTTGATGATTCTTCTTCTGTCAACTTGTTGCTATTTAACTTGCATATCTTCCAGTTTGTGGTAAATCAGACATATATCATCGGCGAAGTCCAAATCCTCCAAGTGTTTTTGTGTGAGTCCATTTTATGCCTGTTTCCTCATTGCCCGCTGTCTGTCGCATTATCCAGTCTACTGCAATCAGGAAAATCATTGGAGATAGTAGGCAGCCAGTCAGCCTTGTCTTACTCCTGTCCTGACTTCGAAGGATTCCGTGAGTTTCCCTTTTTGGTTTACTGGGCATGCAGCATTGTCGTACAGCTGTTGGATGAGATTGTTAATTGTCGGTGGCACCCTGTAGTAGTAAAGAGTCACAAACTAGGATGAAACAGTTGTCCAGTAAGTACTCCTTAGTTAGTTTTCAATGAATCTCTAAAGGAAGTCAATTTGGAATCATCATCACTTGAAAAAACCTAAATCCCTGCAAACTAAGTTTTTCGATTCTAGGCTGATGCACGTCTTAGGTTGAACATTATTAGGCTAGCAAGTCAGATGTTCCACTTGGAACGTAATCGAATAAAACCAAATCTTCAAAAAATAAGGATTTTTTCGAGTTTACCCATGGATTGATATCATTTAGAGAGCCAATGAGAACCAGGGAGTACTGGATATCTGTTTCGTCAGCCTAGTTTGTGACTGACTTATCGGCAGTACACATCCACCACATGGTCCGGGGGGAGGTTCTAACCCAGGACCTTTCGGTTACAAGGCAAGCTCGTAGACCATGATTTGCTACAGGATGGAGTTTCCTGGAGTTTATGACAAATCATGACCAGTAAGGTCCATCTAGTCGGGAGTAAGAAGGATGGAGTTCCCACCGATAACATTAATTGGTGCCATTCGCGCTAAATCACGAATTGGTAGAAGTTAGAATTACTGGGGTTGGCCATTCAGGAGTGGGGTCCCATTGTATGAATGGTCTACGAGCTCGCCAGTCTTGTAACCGGAAGGTCCTGGGTTCGAACCCTGTCGGTGGGTGCGTACTGCTGATGACTCCCAAGCTAGGGTGAAACAATTTTTAATAATTAATTAAGTTTATAAATGAAATAATTATCCAAGGAAAAGGGAAAGGTTTAATTTTTATTGAATCAACGAATTTTAAGGTTGAAAATCAATTTTTCCATGGTTTAACCTTATCAATTATCATTAGTTAATCAAGTATATATATATATATATATATATATAGCATATAAATGAGCATCACACATCTGGTAGTGACACTTATCATCAAGTAGAAAATATATTGATCAATATGATTTTAAGTTGAATTACACTGACTCCGTCCTCTGCTGTCTCTCACTCACTCGCTCGCTCATCACTCTTTTAAATCATTATCAACTCGACTCAACTGAATTTCAATCATATACAGTTTCATCCCCCCCCCCCCCAAATATGGACGTTGAGTAAAACAGAAGGACAACCAACGAAACAGTAACAAAAAAGCAAACATGCCCATCATCACATCATCTCTACTTGTCCTACTTTCTCTGTGTGTGTGTGTGTGTGTGCGTATATATATTTATGTGGTATAAGTACGCTCGCGCGCTCGGGCGCACGTACGCACACACGCACGCACTCACGCATTTGGACACGGACGTGATCTTTCGTATACATGAATTTATGTATCAACAAAGTAGGCATTCATTTCACTAACTAACTAACTAACTGACTAACTCACTAACTTATTTATTAATGATATCCGTCCATCCATGAAAAGTAAGTAAATGTAATTGATAACAATAGAAATAATATTAATAGTAATAATAATAACAGGCAAACAGGTACGCATATGATTGCTTAATCTACTTTTGCCTTTTTCAAGTAATCGACAATATATATATATATATATATATATATATATATATGAATGTACAGGAGGAAACTGCGCCACTGATGTCCCATTTTAAGATCATAGGGAAATTTTAAAAAATAATAATAATAATAAAATAAGCAAATATAAATCAATAAGTGTAGAGGTTTTTTTCTCTCTGTGTGTGACTTCTCTACCACTTTTTATGCTTAATGCTTATTATAATCATGCATTTGTTATTTACTATTCAGGATTCCAACATCTTTATATACCCCTTGTCTTTTCAGGTGAATAATAGTAGAGAAATTACTGCTGGTGAGATGATGTGACATAGCCTAGGCTATTATTATTATTATCATGAGCTGATATCAGTTAGAGAACCACTGGAAAACCTGCCAAGGAGTACTGCCAGACAGCTGTTTGGTCAGCCTAGTTTGGGACTCTTCATCAGTACGCACCCACCACCGGGGTTCGAACCCAGGACCTTCTGGTTACAAGGCTATCGAGCTCGTAGACCATTGAGCCACTCACTGGGACCCAATCCAATGGCCAGACCATGAATTCTAACTTCTGCCAATTCACGACATAGCGCGACGATTTCGCAGTGGTTCTCTAACTGATGTCAGCTCATGATGAAATCCTCCATGAAATCAAACAAAAAATCCCTACAAAACCAATACTTGAAAATTAATCTGATGCTCACTAGCGATTGGCCCTATTCAAGCCGTGATCAGTAGGGTACAGCAGGTTGAAGATGAGGTGGTAACTCATCGAAGAAGACATTGCGAAATGGCCGCGCTGTGTCGTGAATTGGCAGAAGTTAGAATTCATGGAGTGACCATTGAATTGGTGAGTCCCAGTGGCTTAGTGGTCTATTGGCTGCTCGCTTTGTTAGCAGAAGGTTCTGAGTTCGAAACCTAGCGGTGGGTGCGTAGTTCTGAAGAGTTCCAAACTAGGCTAATGAAACAGCTATCCAGTACTCCCAGGTTTTCCAGTAGTTCTCTAACTGACATTTATAAAATTATATTTATAAAATCTCAGCAAAATTGAAATGATTAATTCCAACGTTTCATTCGGCAATCTGGTCCGAACATCTTCAGGGAAATTAATCGAAATTAACATAACAGAGGTTTATCTGAATCTATAACTGATGTCAGCTCATAATGAAATCCTCCATGCAATCAAACAAAATCCCTACAAAACCAATACTTGAATATTATTATTATTATTCACATGGGTTCCGAGTGGAACATAGGACTTCAGCAGAAAATCTGTATTTCATCCAGTTCTTTAAAGTCCTCTTTATATGGCTCCGCGAATGACCGACCAGTAGCTCTCATCTCCTCCTCCTTACACCGTCTCTTTCATGCCACTCTCGAAATGACGTCCAGTTCATCGTTCTCTGCTCAGGTTCCACTCAACTGTTATGGGTAAAATTTGTTTTGATAAAGTCTCACAGTGTTATACAGTGAGTAATGTTTACTGATGACCATGTTTCGAGCATAATATACCGCTGCTCATAATCATATCGAGACAGTACTCACACAACTTCCTAACTTCGTTTATATAATTCCACCATTATTTTCCATCGCTTGATTTGATGATTGGTAGTAGTAGTATTTTCCATATTTCCAGTATGAGAGATGAGTCAGATAGAGGAAACGTTGCTATCAAATAATTATTTTATCAAATCCATTAGTATGATCACAAAAGGTCAAAGACAAAAATAATTGTGAAACTAGTAATGATAGCATAAATAGCAAAGAATATAAGGCATCTACTGTTATACCACATAAGGAGGGGACATCTAAGAACCTTCCAAAGTAGGATTCTTAATAAAGCAGGAATTAGGGTGGTGGCATTTAAACCTACAAACTCACTCAGGTAGGACAATCTCTGTAGGCTAAAGGCCCTGGTTGACCCAATTAGACAAAATAATATAATTTACAAAATACCTTCCAATGACTGTGAGTTAGGTCAACTACATAAGTCAGTCAAACTATTAGGTCGGGGGTATTCAGATTGTCGGAACATAAGAATTTAGAATTTGCGTTGAGTCATTTCTGTTGCATGTGTTGGGTGTAGACTCGATGAACCAGGCAGGATTCAGTAATCAATCTCTCTCTCCAACTATATAGATTACTTCTTAGGATTTTAGCCCTGTTGTGTGATTGTGTGTTAATGCATGCAGTACAATGTAGTGCTGACCTTTTTTCTTAATTACTTATCTTCTCTGTGTGAACCATTCTTACCCTAGCAAAATTCTTATGTCCTGATAATCTGACTACCCTCGACCTACTAGTTTGAATGACCTATGTAGTTGACATTACTCACAGTCATTGGAAGGAGTTTAGTAAATTATATTATTTTGTTTAATTGGGTCCACCAGGTCCTTTAGCTTACACAGCTTGTTTCTGAGTTAGTTTAAATGCCACCATAATTCCTGCTTTATTGAGAATCCTACGTAGGGCCTCAGATGTACGCTCCTTATATGGTATAACTGTATGCATTAACACACAATCACACAATAGGGTGGGAGAGGGTTAAAATTCTAAGAAGTAATCTATTTAGTTGGAGAGAGAGATTGATTACTGAATCCTTCCCGATTCATCGAGTCTACACCCAACACATGCAACAGAAATGACTCAACGCAAATACCAGAAATATAGAAGATATTATTACCACCAATCAGTCAAATCAGAGGAGGATAATAAATAATCTTAAATTGTATTATATTTCAATTCAATTCACATACATCACAACATTCTAACAAGTTACTTAGTTTGACTATAAAACACTCGTCTTATTTCCCATCTAACTGTATTTGATTGATAACACTCATATTATTATTTCTGAATGTACAGTATCTCATATTGATTTTTATTCAAATGTCTAATCATCAATTTCACTCATGTATATAAATGAAGGAAAAAAGTTGTGTGAGTGAGCTGCTTGATGTGATTATGAGCAGCAATAAATTGTGTTCTAAATTTGGTTATCAGTTAATATTACTATATAACAACACTGTGTCATTTGTCGTAAGAAAATCTTATCCATAATGGAGCCGGATATCAGATCTACTTCAAAGATGATGTGTTTTGGCATATGCTACACTAGCCATTTGTATCTGTGTTGAGATTGCAACACCAATCAGTCCATTTTGTTTTTATTCCTTTACGTTCACAGGGGAACAAATAGGGGGGCTTCCAGCTAGAGCTTTGTAGATTCGGTAACAGTATTATATAATGATATTAGATAGTTGGAGGCAATCGGCCACAGGAAGCCTTGCTTGAGCTAGGTTTCGTGCTAGTTGGCACTCAACAATCAGCAAGGCGTGTCTGCAACCTTGAAGGAACTCATGTCCCTTCTGAGATTCGAACCCGCGTCACCCAGTGCTGCAGTCAGAGACGTTACCACTGAGCTATTTATGCTCGCGACTGACCTCCTCTAGGACTGTAGTGGGTATTTTTATTGGACACTAATAACTAGTGTGACGTGTCTAGTCCTTTGTTTGTTTGGTGCAGACTGAATTCTATCAGTCAGTCAGGTTTGCAATATGGCCACCATTCTAGGTAGCTCGCCATCAGTAGTATTTATTATTGCGTGATGGGACAGCTAGCCTCATTGATATAAGTATAAAACTTGCGCATTGTGGTAAAGTATAACTCCATTATGGATAAGATTTTATTTCGATAAGTCACACAGCCTCATGAAAAAGGGAAAAACTTCAGGGATGAGATTCTTTTCGAATTCATTCACATAGCTATACAGTCGCATTTATATAAAGTGATCTTTATGTGTGTTTGTTTATGTGTACATGAGTTTCGACAATTTTAGACAATTAATTACGTAATACAAGAATGATCTAATATAGAAACAAGGTTAGCTAGAGAGCAAATAAAGTAAGATTGAGTTAGCTAGTTAGTCAGTCAGTTAGATGACGTAATATAATTGACTAAAGTGTTTCAATCTAGGTCAAGGTAGCAACAGAGGTAATTACAGGTAGAGAGAGACTAAGTAGGGGTGGGGTAGAGAATAATGCCATTTAAATTAGGACTAAAGCTGAGTAAATAAATTGGATAACGTAACATAAATGACTAGAAATTGATCGTTGGTCAAGTCAGTAACAGAGGTAATGAGGTGTAGAAATCAAAATCGGGTGGAGGTAGAAAAGAGGAAAGTTGAAAATGTAAAATGTTACAATTGAAAAGACAAAATGATACTAATGAAGAGACGGAAGAGAAAAAAGTAGAATTAACTTGTCGCGTATTAAAATAGATTATGTTTATTACAAGTGCAGTGACTGAGCGAACTTCTTCTGTATGCAGAGTTGAGGACTTAGCAAGTGAATTGCCGTTGTTTGGGCAATTTGAAGAAGTTTGACTCGTAGACCTTTAGGAAGACTGCTTCGTATTCTGTTGAAGTTTGTTTGCGGTGTAGCTTGGTGTCCGGAATCTATCAGATGTTCTAAGATGTAGCTGTGGGGGCGTCAGTGTTGTGCAGTAATATTTACTGATGATCACGTTTCGAGCGCAAATTACTGGTCATAATCATATCAAGGTACTCATACAACTTTCTTGCTTCATTTATAATACATACCCAACCGTCCCTCTTTACCAGTCTTATTACTTACTGGTTAGAGAGATAAAAGAGTGCGTTCCCCGGGGATCGAAACCCCAAACTACCTGCATAGTTGGCGAACATTCCACCGCCATTGGGACTCGTATAACTTCCTAAAAATAGGTGAGTTCTTCACTATTATTATTATTCTTTCCTTGGGTTCCTAGTGAAACATAGGGCTTCAGCTGCACGCCTCCACTTGCTTCTGTCTTCTCCTGTACTTTTCACCTGCATCCATGTTGGTCCATACCGTTTCAACTCCTCTTCACACGATCTCCTCCATGTCACCCTAGCACTGACATCTCACTCGCCGCTTCCCTTTCGGGTTCCAATTGAGCACTGGCCTGACGCGCTATGTCACCCAGCGGCCTCCTCAGCCACGAGTGTCCAATCCATCTCCACTTTCTCCTGCATATTTGTTGAGTGATTGGTTCTTGTTTTGTTTGTTCCCATAGTTTGTTTCTTGTTGGTGATTCTTTCCGGTGGCCATCTGATCTTCAGTATAGAGCCAGCGAAGACAGTTGTTGATAAAGGTCTGCAACAGGCTGTTGGAAATATTCTCTGTGACCTGCCAAGTATCTGATCCGTATAGAAGAACTGACTTGACGTTTGTATTGAAAATCCGAATTTTGTTGTTGGTGCTGAGTGAAGAATATTTCCAGATTGGTTTCAGGTTGATGAATGCGTTTCTCACCTTCTCGATTCTCGATTTGACATCGTCGTCCGTTGCTTCTGTGATTGAGACAATGCTGTGTAGATAAGTGAATGAAGTAACCTCTTTCAAATCCCTCCCGTTGATGGTGATTGGCGGTGGATGTTGCTGCTGCTGTTGTTGTTGTTGGTTGGTTGGTTATTTCCATAACCTCCGTCTTGTCTATGTTCGCCTGGAGTCCTGTCTTTGCTGCCAGCCTCTTCGACCAGTTTGTCGGTTTTCGCTTGTAATTCTTCGATCTTGTGTGATATCAAAGATAAATCATCCACGCGCGAAATCCAGGTCTTCTAGATTCTTCACGTCGGTCAGGACAGGATATCCCTGTCTTGTCGTTTCCCCCTGTCTGACGCATAATCCAGTCCACCACAATTAGGAATATCATTGGTGATAATAAGCACCCTTGTCTGACTCCTGTGTTCACTCCAAACGCCTCGCTGCGTTTTCCGTTGTGGATCACTTGACATGTTCCGTCGTCGTACAGCTGTTGAATAAGGTTGATGAATATTTGGGGTACGCCGTAGTACTTGAGTAGCTTCCAAATTACTTCGCAATCAACGCTGTCGAAGGCTTTCTCAAAGTCTATAAAGTTGAGGTAGAGGTTTGACTGCCTTTCTATGCTTTGTTCGATGATGATGCGTAGAGTTGCAATTTGTTCAGAACATGATTTGCGAAAATTACTGGTCAATGTGACATCAAGGTACTCACACAATTTTCATGCGTCATTTATAATACATACCCAACCTTTCCTCTTTACCAGTCTTATTACTTACTGGTTAGAGAGATAAAGGAGTGCGTTGGCCGGGGATCGAAACCCCAAACTACCTGCATGGTTGGCGAACATTCCAGTGCCATTGGGACTTGTATAACTTCCTAAGTATATAGGTGAATTCGTCATTAAGCTCTATTAACCATTTCACTTCCTATGTTTAAACAAAGTATCGAAAAATCTTTCACACGGTTACGTAACCATCACCAGTTATGCGTGAATTACCTTGAAATTATATAAAATTCTTCTCTTCTTACAAAATATATGTATAATGTCTTCGTTTTCGTCATCATTGATTGTTCTCACTTCCTGTATGCTTTATCATCTATCTTGTCTCCATTTTTCCTTTTTGACATGTGTGTGTTTGTGTGTTATTCAGCTGTTCTTCTTCTTGTAAAATGAACTGGTTGTGTATTGATATTCAGTTAAAGTATCATCCCCCAAGGTTATGTCACGTTGATTACCGACCGCGTGTGTGTGTGTTTTCCTCTCCTCTTTTATAGGTTGTAGGTAACTGAGGCAAACCAGTATGTAGTGTAGTAGTATATAGGAAAGAATAAAAAAATTCACCTTATCTTAATTAATTCAATTAAATTTTTCATAATTGCCTGTCTGTGTAAGTGTTTTAATTCCTTTTTTTATGTGTGTGTGACATCGTGAGATGAATCAATCAATGAGAGTGACCTGCTTTTTATCTAATGAATTTTTCTTGTCTGATAACGTTTAATTTCTAAATTCATTTCTGTGTTATTGCCATTGTTGTTGTTGTTTCTTAAATTTTCTTTTAATTTTCTAAACACAACACACACTTAAGATATCTCAGTACACGTCAATGCTGGCAGCTTATGCTGAACAGAAAACTCAACCATCTGAGTCGATTATCCTGGATGGATTCACTGTAGACTATTGTGAACCAAGAGCAGGTAAGTCGTCCGTAGTATCTTGTTAGTGAATAAAAAACAACAACAACAGGCCTTTCGTTCTAGTTTTTGAAACTTTTTTCAGGATTCTTATCTACTACTCTATCAGAGAGCTTCAGATCACTAAATCTAGCTCGTTAACCATTCAGTCACTCGTGAATTCTAACTCGGTCAGTTTGTGAGATATAGTACTGTAACAACAGAAGACAAAGGCCAGGCAACAGATCGTTTATTAAGGAAAATCAACACATATTTATAGATTTTAATGTACATTATTGTAGATTATTGTTAGTAGAAAATACAGTCTTTTCATTGGTGGTTGTTTCTCACAGAAAGTTAACCTTGCATTTCTTTGTGGCTGTATCAGATCATCCATATGCTAACTGTATCCGCCTACGCAAAGCCTTTGTTTTCATTTTCTCACCACCAATATTGGGGATATAAACATTGATGTCAGTTACTGTCTATCAACTTTGGCTAGCAGCCAGCTCTCACCACAGTACTACCCTCATCAATGTTTTCGATGAGTGTTCACCTCTTCCTTGACATGGTGAACCCCACTGGCCACGACTTCTCACTAAAGCCTCACTACTTCCATTCAGTAGCCTTGTAATGGGAATTTTGGTTAGATTTTTTCACAAAACCAACAGCATTTGTAGAGATCATTGGAAGTCACTTCATTGTATTCGGCTGCAAAGTGTATGAATGATCAGCAAGCTTGGTCCTGTAACGTGAAGATTCGGGGTTCAAACCCTGATGGAATCGTGGACGCCTATTGTTGAAGAGTCGCAAAATAGGACGAAACAGTTGGCTGTTCAATGTTGTTCCCTCGTTTAGAATGATCTGTCTGTCTGGTTAGTAACAAAATATAGTGACTGAAATTAAACAGGATATTTGGTTGAACAAATCCGGTAAAAATGGAAGGTTGGGTCTGAGACTAGCAGCCCCATGACATAAAGATGACAGCACAGCCACTACTGAAATTTCAAAGCTGAAAGCTTGAAGCCCTTTGTCCTACCGTTGATCATTAGAATTCAGAATAGGTGTTTTAACAACTGATTATTATGTGCTTTGATGATATGAACGTACTGGCGGTCTACTCAAAATTGGAGCCATCCTACTCTATCAAACAACATTTGGACCTATTAGCTTTCGTGTCCGCCATACATCTGAGAGAAAATAACTCAGTTGTTATCAGATGTTTGAAAGTAGTCGCCAGGAAGCCTTCATTCAGCCTAGGTTTTACGCTTGCTGGCACTTACCAGTCAGTTAGCAAGGAGTTTTCTCATTCTTCAGAAGACTTATGTCGTTTCTGACATTCAAACCCGTGTGTGTCATCCAGTGTTGCAGTCACATGCGTTAACATTGAACTATTTCGATTGGTAATTGACCTCCTGTAGGATTGTATTGCACACTTTGACTGGATTTTAGGTAATAATTAGTTTATAAAACACAAAATAATCGAGCGAAGAATATTCTTTTCGATAAATTCCTCTTCCAGGCTCTACAATTATATATGCATGTTTATATACACAGAATATTCTAAATTAGTAGTCAGTAACAATATTAGCGTATTTTTTAAATAATATCGATTTGTAAAGTATGATCAATGCTATTGCAGTTCATTAAAGATGCTTAAATTATAATAATAATAAAGATATAACAGCGAATAGAATATCAACTAAAATTCTGCGTTCGGGAATAAAAGACAAACTGCCTAATTTTGTCTCTTCCATGTGTATATACCAATTTAACTGCTCCTGTAGAGCCAGTTACATAGGCCGTACAATTAGGCGTGTTTCTCGTCGAATTTCCGAACATCACGCTGCCTGGTTAAGCAAAGGTCAAACAAAATCTATTCGCAGCGCTATTCTGGCGCATCTTGTGGAGACAGAACACAAGATTGACGTTAATCATGCTTTCAGGGTCATTTACCGCATACCTACGAATCTCAATTTCGCTTTAAGAGTTCGACTTCTAAATATTGCTGAGGCTGTGGGGATTCATATTAATAAGCCTAATTTATGCACCCAGAAGAAGTTAGTCCAGTCATTATCATTACCTTGGCCATCCAGGTTTGAATAATCCAGAATTTTTGTGAAATTTCCCTAATTTTAGTTGATATTCTATTCGCTGTTATATCTTTATTATTATTATAATTTAAGCATCTTTAATGAACTGTAATTGCATTGATCATACTTTACAAATCGATATTATTTAAAAAAACACTAATATTGTTATTGACTACTAATCTAGAATATTCTATGTATATGAACATGCATATATAACTGTAGAGCCTGGAAGAGGAATTTATCGAAAAGAATATTCTTTGCTCGATTATTTTGTGTTTTATAGATGTCTGAATGAATATTTTTGCAATAATTAGTTTGATGCATCTAGTCCTTGGTCGTTGGTGGAGACGGAATTCTAGTAGTCAAGTTATCAGTGTAGTCCAAATGCTAGTGTTATCTCGCTGTCGTGCGCGCTGCATTCTGAGTAGTTGTTAAATAGATGGAGACAATCGGCTCGAAGCGTTGCTTGACTACGATCTCGTCTTTGTTGATGTATTTTCCTTCTTGAAGGAATTCATGTCCCTTCTGAGATCCAAGACTGACAGAATTCAATTACTGTCAAACGAACGACCAGACGCATTATATTAGTCACTACCTAGTGTCTAGTCAAAATACTACAGTGGATGTCAAGAAACAATGAAGCGTACAACAGCAAATGAAATGGCTGTTCCTGAAAATTACTCGGTATAATCTGTAGCTTTGATGGTTAGTTCTTTTCATTTAATTTTTTGTAATAAACGGCTATTGTGTTACAATATGGAATTTCTGGTAATTTCATTTTGTTTTCAATCATATTCAAGTATTGGTCTGTAGGGATTTTGTTTGATTGGCTGGAGAATTCCATCATGAGCTGACATCACTTAGAGGAACAGCAGAAAACCTGCAGGGAGTACTGAAGAGCCGTTTCGTTGGCCTTGCTTGAGGCCCTTCATCAGTACGCACCCACCGGAGTCCCAACTCAGGACCTTCTGTTTACTAGGCAAGCTAGCCCGTTGACCATTATGCCACTGGGACCCGACTCCTCAGTGATCAAACCGTGAATTCTAACTTGTGACAATTCACGACATAGCGCGACCGCTAGCCAACGTCTCCGGAGAGTATTTGTCCTCACACCCGACCTGCTGCAACCTACTGGTCAAGAATTCTTGTTAGGGGCCCAGGTAACTACCTACCTGAATAGGGTCAGTCGCTAGTGAGCACCGGAGTTCGAACACCGGCTGGTGCGTACTGATGAAGTGTCTAAAAGTGGGACGGAACAGCAGTCCAGTACTCCTAGGTGGCTTTTCAATGGTTCTCTAACCGATATCAGCTCATGGTCAAGTCCTTTAACCTATTCAGTCATAGTTTGGAATAAAGTGATTGCTAATATTATTATTATTACTATTACCATATTTTCCAAATCAGATTTAATAAGTCTGGCTACATTTGGTCGAAATGGTAAACCGGATCATCATGCATCAACATCCTCGTTAACGTCATTATCACGACTTCGATTTAGTACACTGGCACGCATGGGCAGTCAGAGAAATGTGGGCAGTGGTCCACTCGGTGGTCTAGAATGTGATTATACGCCAAGATTTTTCTTTAAACTTGTTCGAGAAGGTGATACACTGATTGTAGCATCATCTACTGAAATCGACCGACAGAATTGGATACAAGCACTGTATAGGGCTACTGGTCAAACGCATAAACCTACGGCGCCAGGAGCGGCTAGTAGTACAGCGCTAACAAATGATCAAGGCAAGGGTAAGTCGTGTTTTCCATCATTTTGTGTTATACATTTATTCTCCTGCATTATATCTTCCATGTCAAGTGGTTTAATAGAGTGAGCAATATTGAGGTAAGGCATCGGTACAGTGCTAAATAAGGAGGGGAAATCAATAGACGAGGCTGTGAAGTTGTTCCGATACCTGTCCAGCCACCGCCTTCCTCAATCGACTGACAATGTTATCTGACACAGGATCAGGTTTGAAAAGAGGTAGTGGCGGTCAAACCAAAATATATCCTCATCAGTCAGTGAAGTCCACAACAGTTAGTTTTAGCCAGCCACGTAGAGAGAGAGACGTGTAGACTACCTGACTGGTTGGGGTCGTGGGGATGTTAAGAACCAATGCAAGCTGGAGATAATTGGTGATATATGGCTCGAAATCTTCGTTCTCAATGTTTGGTGCAGATCCATTCTAGTGTTCTTCCATATTACTATTCTTTTTGCCTTATATCTTTATTTATATATCTTTTTTTATTTTCTATTGCTTTGTGTGCTAAGTGAGGTGCGGCTCCTCGAACTGCTGCACATCTGTGCAAAGTGTTTCTATGTTGAAACCAGTCAGCCAGTCAGTCTTTATACACTTCAATAAAGGAAGAAGAGCAGTGATTTGTTCAGAATAATATGGTACCATCATATATTTACCATCAGCTTATTTCGTTGACTTCTCATCAGCTCAGCTGCTTACAGCCTAAATAAATTATTATTAAGTTCATGAGCAGAAAAGTTTCAACATACTTGCAAATTTCATATGATGTCTCTTTACTGGAGGTTCCGGACTTAGTGAACAGTGCTCAGAAAATTACGCCTTGTATGGTTCTTACACAGGCAGTTCAGGTTTAAACAAAGTCAATGTATGCATACAATGGCAAAGGAGTTACGTAATAAAGCCGAGAGAGATGCTTAAGATGCTGAGTGACTAATAAATTAGGTAACAGTGTACTGAGTTCAACTCAAATCATAGAAACAAGAAACAAGCAGAATAACACTATATCAAAGGTGAGGGTGCTGAGTTTAAAGCCATAGATTGCGTAATCAAACGAAAAAGAGAATAAGGTCATCCAGTTACCAGGGTACGGCAAGAAGAGACTAATAACTACTTCTTTCTGAACACATAAATTGGGTTCCAGGCGTTTTTTAAGACTCTTTCGTCACTCAGTATCAACAACGAAATTCGGATTTTCAATACAAACGTCAAGTCAGTTCTTCTATACGGATGGATGAGAAACTTGGCGGGTCACAAAGAATATTTCCAACAGCCTGTTGCAGACCTTTATCAACAACTGTCTTCGCTGGCTCTATACTGAAGATCAGATGGCCGCCGGAAAGAATCACCAACAAGAGACTATGGGAACAAACAAAACAAGAACCAATCGCTCAACAAATATGCAGGAGAAAGTGGAGATGGATTGGACACTCGTTGAGGAGGCCGCTGGGTGAAATCGCGCGTCAGACCAACGCTCGAGTGGAACCTGAAAGGGAAGCGGCGATTGGGACGTCGGTGCAAGGGTGACATGGGGGAGATCGTGTGAAGAGGAGCTGAAACAGTATGGACTAACATGGGTGCAGGTGAAAAGTACAGCAGAAGACAGAAGTAAGTGGAGACGTGCAGTTGAAGCCCTATGTTCCACTAGGAACCCAAGGGAACAATAATAGTAATAAATGATCCCCATCTTGTGTCGGTTAATATATGTCATCGGATAGTAACTTCCTGTTGGTCAGACTAGGTAGATCACTCGGTCAAAGCATACCATTAAGTCTTTAGTGGATTATTATTATTATTCCCTTGGGTTCCCATCAAAATATGGGACTCCGGCAGTACATCTCAATTTAGTCCAGTTCTCTGAAGTCTTTTTTCAAGCTTACTCCACGATTGCTCATAGGTTTTCATTTTTTCTTCACCTAACCTCCTCCATTCCACCATTGAACCCACGTCTAACTCGTTGTTTCCCATTCCGGTCTCACTCTAAGTTCTGGTTCGTGATGTCATTCATTTTTTTTAGGGTATATCCAATCCATCTGTATTTCTTCCAGTATATTTGTGATCAGTGGGAGCGTACTACTGAAGAGTCCCAAACTAGGACGAAACAGCTGTCTAGTACTCCCAGGTTTTTCAATGGTTCTCTAACTAATGTCACCGCATGATGAAATCCTGTGATAAGTAATTTGTTGGTTGGCTCTTTCCCAGAGCTCCTAATTGCTAATCTGTTCTTCCCGGCCTGGCCATGTGATTTTCACTATGCAACGAAGTTGGCAGCTATTGATAAAGGTCTGAGGCAGCCTGTTCGATTTGCTTCTGGTGATACACTAAGTCTCTCAAGTAATTCAGTACATCTAATTCGGGTTTCCATCAGTAATATACAACATGTGTATATAAAGTCATTTCTTATCAAGTTTAAATGAAGCGCTCGTTTGTCTTAGCAACGATTAAAACAACTTCACTTTAAAAATAAATAACAATTGACAATTGATTTTGAAATCAATGCTGTTCATTATATATCTTTTTTTTCAATTTCTACTAGGTACTGCTGAAGTAGAAACTAGTCAAATGAAAAAGATTGAAGAATATGCTTCAACACCAGTTCATACACTTGATCATTTGGAATATTTTGCTCTTCTACAATCTTTAAGCTTAGACTATCGTTTAACGGTAAGTTCAAAATAAACAAAACATATATGGTATGACTTGTTACAACAACACTGTTATGATGGAACTAATATTAATTTAGTGCGCTGGCTAATCTATCCTAATCTTACTTCAACGGCAGCAACAATTGTTGTTAATAGATGGTTGGAGGTAATCGACCACAGGAAGCCTTGGACCTAAGTTTCATGCTAGTTGGCACTCATCAGCAAGGCGTATCTGCAACTTTGAAGGAACTCATGTCCCTCCCTTCTGAGATTCTGTCCCGCGTCAACCAGTCAGAGACGTTACCACTGAGCTATTCAGGCTCGCGACTGACCTCCTGTAGGACTGTACTGGATATTTTTGATTGCACACTAGTCAGTAACTAGTGTAACAACAAGAACACCGCTGACACGCGTAGACATAAGAAAAGGCTGGACGTCGACAAGAGAGCTTTTACAGTCTCGAACAACAGTCAAAATGCTAGACAGAAACTCTGTATATATATATATATATATGCAGTTAGGTTGACGGCAAAGTTAAACTTTAAGCACCACCAACTACCACCAATCAGTGAGTGACCTCAAATGCACCAATCACGTGAAGGAGGCATTTTTGAGTATGGAATAATGTATATTTATGAAAAAAATGCATAAAAACTTTAGAAAAGTGTTAGCGAGGATACCTTCCTCTCACATGTGATAAAAGTAGCTCTCAGTTTAAGGTTGCAGTATCAACCGAGTATAATTCCATTGTGGGTAAAATTTATTTTGATAAAGTCTCATAGTGTTATACAGTAATATTTCCTAAGCAATAAATTGTGCTCGAAATGTGGTCATCAGTAAATATTACTGTATAACACTGTGTGACTTTATCAAAATAAATTTTATTCACAATGGAAATGTACTCTAACAAATGTCCTTTGATAAAAAAGGAGGTTTTCTAATGAAACATGCATTCATTTGCATATGTTACCATCGGAACTTCAACCTAGTAGACTATGAGCGAATGCTAACTTAGTGCGCTGGCTAATCTGTCCCAATCACTTGACAACAAAAACAACAAAACCGCCAGGCCTTGCAGACTGAAGAGAATACTAGATGTTGGTAAGAGAGCTCTTTACTCTCTCAAAACAACAGTCAAAAAATGCTGACAGCTCTTGCGTGCATATATGTTTAAAATGACCTTGAGAGACACTAATGTCATTGATAAACTAAGACATTGAGCAACCAATAGGATTCCAAAGATCAAAAGTAGCATGAGAGAGAAAATCAGGACATAAATCAATAGGTGGGGGTAAGAGAAATACAAACAGACATGTAAAAATGACATGTAGAAAAAATTAGGTCTATATATCAGCATACAAGAATAATTACATTCGTTGAATAGCTTTTATCACGAATTATCGGTAACTGAAGTCAGAAGTAGGGCAAACTGTTTCACTCCAATTTCAGAACTCATGGTTAGTCATACATCTGATATCTATCAGCCATTCAAACATTTTTAGTAGAGATCAAATAGCTCCCAATGACCAGTTAGATCAGTTAGAGAATCCCCTGGAACCACTGAATGTAACATTTATGGGCCTTAGGATCCTGTCCCAATGTCTGAATGCTTTCACCTCGTGACCTGAAGGTTCTGCATTCTAACTTTAATAGGGTCTGTATTGGTTACAGGATTTCATCATGAGCTGACATTGGTAAGAGAACCATTGGAAAACCTGGGAGTATTGGACAGTTGTTTCGTCCTAGTTTGGGACTCTTCAGAAGCACGCACCCACCGCCACGGCTCGAACCCAGGACCTTCTACGTTACAAGGCGAGCTCGTATACCATTAAGCCACTGGGACCCAATCCAGTGGCCCATGAATTGTAACTTCTGCCAATTCACGATATAGCGCAACCACTAGCCAATGTCTTCGGCAAGTATTTGTCCTCACACCCGACCTGCTGCACCCTACTGGTCACGACTTCCCACTGGAACCCCACGTAACTGTATTGGTTGTGAGCATCGGAAGAGACTCAAGCTAGGACGAAACAACTGGTCAGTATTCTTTGGTTCGTAGTAGTTTTAGTTTGTGATCTAACTAGGAAGCAACTCTTGAAAACTCCTTGTTAGTGTGTGTGCGTGTGTGTGTGTTTTATATTCAATCATTGGTCACTTATTCTGTTCTGTCTATATTTAATTTGATTTTTTTTTATTATAAGGATCCATTTGTCTCACTTGGTTGTCTAAGTCCAATACAACGTCATCTGTTAGATGAATATTGTACACGTTATGGGATACGTGAATGTCAACGTCATTTAGCCATGTTAATTAATCTGCTGAATAAAATAGAAAATGGTATGAGTATAGATCCTGATCTAATTCATATCAGTTATGCCTTGTGTGCTAATCATGTCAGTGGGAAAGCGTAAGTCTGCATTGAAGAACCATAATTCAGTTATTCTTTTATGATTTCGTTATTTGAACATGTATATATATGTGGGACTATTTTGATTATATTTCCTCGTGAGCTTAAAATTTGTTGATGTTAACGAAGTTCTAGGGCATTGTTCTCTTCATTTTTTTACGTTCCACCAGGAACCAGGTGGCTTCAAGGTATTAGCTTTGAATTTTCAGCAGTAGTAATGTCCAAATCGCGAAATATACTCATTAGTTAGACGTCTGTTAATTGTTGGATGGTGACTAGCAGTGGAATCAACCAGGATGAGCATTTCGTCCTCTACTTGGGACTCGTCAGCTAGTGGATATACCTGCATTCCCCCTTAAGTGAGTGATGATGTTCCCTACCTAGACTCGAACCCAGTGCCCGGTTGCACGAGATGTGGTGGCTTTCGTGGCCCAAGTGATCTAGTGGATAATGCTTTAGCGTTTAGATTTTCGCGTCGATTGATTAGACCTAAGTGCTCGTCAGTTGGATGTACCTGCATTCCAGATGATGAGTTTTTTCTATCCCGCCGCAGGGCTAGCGAACACAGACCTGTATGTAAGCCTCTGGGATGATATTCGTAGCACATCTTCAGGCCACCGATGCTAGTATTTCCAGATGACGATACTCAACGAGTGGTTGGTTATCTCCACTGTGTCCAAACACACGCTGCCGAACATCACGCGATGATGCCACCGAACACAAGCAATCCTATGGAGACAGCGATGATCGAATACACAGAGCTGTTGCACATCCTCAGCTCAGAGAGATCAGGTTTCACAGGCAAAGGGTAAGACAGCCCACACTGAAGCATGGTACACCCAACCTTTGCTAGCCAGGCTAACGTCGCGACGGCGCCTGAGGTGGCTTAAATTAACGTATGCCACACTAGCTTCCAGTATACGGTACTCACACAACTACCCACATATACAAACTTATCAACAACTTCAAGCGGTTCACCTGCAAGCAAGAGTGAGTGCAGGTACAGGCTCCTGCAAATCTTGTAACAGTACTGTGTACTTAGCCGGTGCAAAGCACATACCATACTGACAGACACTGTTCTAGGTGTAGCTTACTGATGGTTAGTAATAAGCTTGGAATACACTTATCCGGAATATATTTTTCGTCTATAAGATTATGAGCCTCATATATTGTTTAAAGTCTGATGATACTACCGCTTCGTTCAACCTGAAGTAGGTGGATTGAGATTCACACATTGGCATCTCCAGAGGCATAGAACCATGTCAAGCATTAATTTTACTGAAGTGTGTGGTACAGCATCAGGCGTGTTCATCCATTTACCAAAGAGACACAGTAATTGTGGCTTAGACGCTTGAAAGAATTTGAGGACATAACAGTAAATATCAAAAGATGGTTTGTAACAACTTGATTGGTTATGCGTTTGATCACGAGGTGATATTAGTTAAAGGACACCTGTAAGATCAGGAAGTAACTAATAAAACATCCTAGTGTTTCGTCCTAGTTTGGGTGTCTCCATCAGTATGCACTCACTGGGGTCCGAATCCAGGACCTAAGGATCACAAGGTGAGCTCGCAAGCTCTTCAGCCACTTGGACTCAACCAAATGACCCCTGAATTCCAACTTCTCTTACTTGATTTGGTGTGCCCCATTGGCGAAGAGTGTTGAAGAATCCCCATCTAGGACGAAACAGCTATCCAGGACTTCTTGATGATTCTGTAGTAGCTCTCTAAATGATGTCAGCTCATGATCAGCAGGGCGACACTGTGCCTATTTGCTTTATTATTTCGGCTCCGAACATCGATATCAAGTCATCAGGGATTGTTTTCCTCTTTATTTTTTCTTTAATCGAGCCCATCTTCATAATCAAAGAAAATATATTTTCCCTTAATCCTTTTTTTCAACTTTATCTTCAAGTCAACACGATCAAGCTGTACATACAGTACTGGCAGTGGAACGTGATCAATTCCAGGTTATTAAGGCTAGATTAACAACACTGTTGGAGAAACAGATTACTGAATTCCGCTATTGTTTTCCATTTGGACGTCCAGAGGGAGCTTTGGAGAAGACAATAAGTTTATTAGAACGAGTAAGTGGTGATATGCGTATATGTTGAATATTTTCTTTGATCACTCAGTGTTAAATTAACGAGTAATTTTGCTAGGTTGCACGTATTTGTGGTCCTTAGTGTCTGCTATATATACTCTGAATTAAAAGTCATTTCTATAGAATACCACGTCGTATTCAGCAGCCGCTGTTCTACATTATTATTACTATTGTCAGAACAAGATGATTTTGAGCGACCAATTGTCTTCGATAAATTCTTCTTCAGGCTCTTTTTTTTAATTCCTTCACGTTCCAAGTGGAACATAGGGCTTCAAGCTAGAGACTTGCAGTTTCTGTAGCAGTGTTTATTTTTACAGGATGAGGTTGCTAGCCTCATGCCCAACCTTTCCTCTTCACCAGCTTTTTAGTTCTGGCTTAGCAAGGTAAAGGAGTGCGTCGGCCGGGGATCGAACCCCGGACCATGTGCATGATCGGCGAGCGTCCTAACCGCTATGCCACCGACGCACTCTTCAGGCTCTACAGTTACAAATCCATGATTTTTCTTTATTCCTTTACCTTCCTAGTGGAACAGAGGGCTTCAAGCTAAAGGCTTGAAGATTCGGTGGTAGTGGTGTTTATTTTTACAGGATGGGGTTGCTAGCCAGCCTCATTCCCCCCCCAACCTTCCCTCTTTACCAGTCTTACTACTTACTGGCTTAGCGAGGTAAAGGAGGAGTGCGTCTTGGCCGGGGATCGAAACCCGAACCACCTGCATGGTTGGCGGGTATTCAACCTCTGTCATACCGACTGACAAATCCATGATTATTACAATACAAATTGACATTAAATCGGAAACTATATTTGTAAGCGAAATATCGCTTGAAATTAAGTCACGCGTAGATAAAGGCTATCTCGGTCCAGAACAAACAAGAAGCCGGTCACTGTTTCTACGGTACTATTAATAAATAAATCAATAATTATATATATACAACAAACCTTAACGGTTTTAAGAGTTCAAAGCACCACGCTTAACAGAAAGCCAGGTACCGCTATCAGAGCGGAATAGCGTTAAAGCCAAAATTGCGAACTAGCCAGAATCAGACAAGACAGTTCAGGTAAACAGTCAGCAGAAGAATAAACCCAAGTAAGGCAGGGCATAGAACAGAGAGCGGTTAAGAGATAGACAGAGCATAGGCACAGAGAATTTAATTGGCTATTTAACCAGGTAGGCTGATACACATGAAGATCAATAAATAAGATAAACTCGACAGAATAGTACAAAGTAAGACATGGGTCAGCAAAAATAACAGTTCACAAAAATACTCTGATTGGGTCATGAGTTCAACTGTCTGACTAAACGGATCGATGTAAAAACACACACACAGTTCCTTAAACAAGGGGGATAGACACGTTAGACATGGATAATTGGGTTGCAACAACGTTAGGCTGATCCGGAACAGGTTGACTTGGATGGGAATTGAAGTACATGTAAAAATGGAGTGACAGTTCGTTATTTAATATTGTCAAATGAAAGTATGTAAAAATATGTAGTCATTCAGACCGTGAGATAAAGTGTCAATAGACAAGAGGGTGACATATCTAATGTATGTATAATCAACAGAATATAAGTTTCATTGCGAGGGAGGGGGATGGATGGAATGAGTTATGTTCAATAGTGTGCGAGGAAAATGACTACCATAAAATACATACAAACAAATGCCATAAAGTGGGAACACTCAACGTGTAAGTTCAATTAAGGACTGATAGATATTAAGTGTGTTGTGATTAAATAAAAAGGTCATATTGTGAACAGTAATAAAACACTAGAGCCATCCATAATGAGCTTAGTGTAAATTACAAAAGGTTGACACATAACAATAAGGATAGTAAAATGGATTAAAGTGAACTAGGTGAAAAGGAATCAGAAAGGCATAATATAACATGAAAATATGAATGATGATTATGTCAACGGGAGGGATTTGAAAGAGGTTACTTCATTCACTTATCTAGGGAGCATTGTCTCAACTACAGGAGGAACGGACGAGGATGTCAAATCGAGACGAGAATCGGGAAGGCGAGAAACACATTCATTCATCAGCCTGAAAACAATCTGGAAATCTTCGTCACTCAGCCTGCATCAACAACAAAATTCGGATTTTCAATACAAACGTCAAGTCAGTCACTTCTTCTATACGGATCAGAAACTTGGCGGGTCACGAAGAATATTCCCGACAGCCTGTTGCAGACCTTTATCAACAACTGTCTTCGCTCTATACTGAAGATCAGATGGCCGGAAAGAATCACTAACAAGAAACTATGGGAACAAACAAAACAAGAACCAGTCGCTCAACAAATATGCAAGAGAAAATGGAGATGGATTGAACACTCGCTGACGAGGCCGCTGGGTGACATCGCACGTCAGGCCAACGCTCGAGTGGGACGTGCAAGTGTGACATGGAGGAGATCGTGTGAAGAGGAGTTGAAGCAGTATGGACTAACATGGATGCAAGTGAAAAGTACAGTAGAAGACAAGCAAGTGGAGACGTGCAGTTGAAGCTCTATGTTCCACTAGGAGCCCAAGGGAACAATAATAATAATAATGATTATGTCCCTACTAACCTTATAAGTAGATAGGCTAGGGTAAACAAAGAGAATGAATTAAAAGACAATCTGAACGGAGAATATTCTTTTCAATAATTTCTTCTCTTCAGGTTCTTACTATTATAAAATATAATATTTATATCGTTACTTAGAATAAAAGATTTGTAATGAGGTGTCAAAATAAATAGTAAAATTTGTGTGACAAACGTGCCCTGGGCTGAAATGGGAGACAATGGTGGTTGTGATTAGTCATAATAGATTTGTAGAGTGTGGGGTAGGAAAATTGACAAGTCAGTTCAAGGTTATAAAAGGTGTCAGTCAGGTGAGTGAGTGAATAGTACAAACTAGTATGTATTAAATAGGCGGTAGCAAGACTGCAATGAGAGGGTTTCATAGTGAAATAACGAATGTGTGAAATGAAACAGGTAGAGGGAGGCATATGTTGAGAAAAGAGGTAATATCACTAATAATAAGTCCGGATAGTATAAATGGAAAATTCGATAGTATTGAGAGAATATTTGAATGAAAGGTATAAATTATAACGAATAATAATAGTAATTGTAATAATAAGCAAAGAAAAAACACTGCTAGTCACCATCCACTAATTAAATCAAGTTAGTTGTTTGTCAAATGAAAGTATATAAAAATATGTAGTCATTCAGACCGTGAGATAAAGTGTCAATAGACAAGAGGGTGACATATCTAATGTATGTATAATCAACAGAATATAAGTTTCATTGCGAGGGAGGGGGATGGATGGAATGAGTTATGTTCAATAGTGTGCGAGGAAAATGACTACCATAAAATACATACAAACAAATGCCATAAAGTGGGAACACTCAACGTGTAAGTTCAATTAAGGACTGATAGATATTAAGTGTGTTGTGATTAAATAAAAAGGTCATATTGTGAACAGTAATAAAACACTAGAGTCATCCATAATGAGCTTAGTGTAAATTACAAAAGGTTGATAAAGGTAATATTGGAATAAAGTAAACTAAGTGAAAAGGAATAAGAAGGCATAATATGATATGAAAATATGAGATGATTATGTCTCTGCTGACCTTATGGTAGGCCAGCCTGTGCTTCTTCTGCACACATTATTATTATTACTGTTGCCTTGTGTTCCGATTGGAACATAGGGCTTCATCAACACATCTCCACTTTCTCCTATTTTCTGCCGTCCTCTTCAGCTAGGTCCACGATTGTCCGTAACCTCTCATCTCTTCCTAACACGATCTCTTCCATGTCAACCTCGCACTGACGACCCACTTGTCGCTTCCCATTGGGATTCCACTCGAGTGTGCGAGTTTATTCTACGGTTCCCTGAATGTATGCCCGATCTACCTCCATTTTCTCCTATATATTTGTTGAGCGATCGGTTATTGGTTGGTGTGTTCCCGTAGTTTCTTGATACTTATTCTTTCTGGCCATTTGTTCTTCAGTATGGAACGAAGGCAGCTGTTGATGAAAGTCTGCACTAGCCTGTTGGAAATCCTTTTCGTGACAGGTTGACTGAGTTTCTGACCCGCATAGAAGCACTGACCGACTTCACATTGGTGTTGAAAACCCGAATCTTGTTCTTTATACTGAGGCAAAGTGCAGAAGATTTCCAAATTGGTTTCTAGTGATGAAGGCATATCTTGCCTATCCAACTCTGCTTGGCTTTGACATCTTCATCCGTTCCGACTACCTGTGGTTGAAACCATGCTTCCCGGCCAGATAAGTGAAGGAAGTCTACACACAGAGATCAGGTTTCTTTTCTTATTAATCTTTATAGCTTTCGCTGTAGCTCAGAAAGAAGAGCCTACATCAGATTCTTCGAACATGTACCAAGGAGCTTCCAGTTATAGGGGCCAAACGGTTAAAGTTCTTGAATCAGCAAACGCCCAATAGACACAGGACACCGAATCGATGCGTTGGGATCATTCAAAATAATTGACTGAAAAAAAAGCTCAAGTCTTCTTCAGTTTTCTGAGGTTATCGTGATAAAATGCTTGAAATCTGATCTATGTGTCCATAGGGAATCTGTCGTCGGACTACAGTTAGCCTGGTGACTCATCGCTTATTAACTTGTGGTCTTGTGATTTCATTAACTTGTCTTTTCAACGCCTCCTCCCTTCTCCCGCCTCTTTTTTTCTGTTTGGCTTCTATAAGAGATCATTTTTCTTGACCTTATGAGTTCTACTCACTATATTACTTCATCTTTCCATCTGACCTATTGCACACTAAATTTTGATCTTCTCTTATCTAACTATGTAACTGTTACTAATATTTGTTACCGCTCTGTCGACAAATTTGTCAATTAGTTTTCGAGAAACTTATCTCTGACAGCATATATATATATACCCGAGGATTGGAAGAAAGGATACTTATTCAAACTACCAAAGAAAGGAGAATTGGGTCAATGCAAGAACTAGCGCGGAATTATGCTCCTGTCCA